ACAAATGTTAACTGTAATTATACAAAGTTTTCCTTTTCCAAATACAGGCCCTGAGGACAAAAGGTGTCTGCTCAACAGAGACAGCCTTGAGGCACATTTGTGATATTGGGCTATATAAATAACAATGTCTTGACTTGACGATTGTTTGTGTGAAAATTATAATTTATGCAGCTCTAACTTTAGTTATCTTTTCTGCTCTGTTTTGTTTTTGTTGAAGTAATTTGTCATTCCTAAAAAATGGCACTGAAGGTCGTTGTTGTTAGTCGAAGAGAGACAACTTTCCTTTGACTTTCATCGCTTGACTTGTAGAACATAATGAAATTGAATATCCAGTCGGAAAAACAACATTACAAGGTTAATTTGCAGGCAGCATGCAACTATAACAAATTCTAATTTGAATCAGAATAAATTAAGAGAAAAGGAATATGCATCAAATGTATGAATCTAGTGTTCCAGTGCACTGTTATACATGTAATTATAACCGTGAGTGATATTACTGCATTAGCAGATCTGTTCATCTTAAAGTAGACACTGATGTTACTGGCTGTCTGGGATACAATCAGACATGGCACTGTTTGTGTGTGTTTGTGTGTGTGTAGCAGATGTTTAAACAGGCAATCATCACTCAATGAGTAAACAGCTCTGGAGATTGGACTAATAATGTGTGACTGTGGAGGTAAATACTAAGAGGAAGAGGAAAGAGAGCGAGGGGGAAAAGACAAAGGCAGAAGACAGAGGGTAGAGTAAAGAAACTCCTCATGCTTTCTCATGTTAGAAAGCAGACATCAGGGCTGAATGCAGTTTTGTGATTAGCCCACATTTCTGGTATTTTTATCACCCGATCCAACTCTTTGATCACAGCTGTGTCAGGACAGGAGTGGAATAACCATCCTAAGGGACATTTTACCCCAACTGTGGGTTAAAATACCAACTCCTCAGGGCTTCACTGGCTGATCTCCTCTGTTGCCAACACACACACCTACCTTTCCCAGCACTCGGTCAGTTTGTCCGTCTGCATCTTCATCTACGCCCCTCCTCCCCCTCTTCTTCCTCGTAATTCTAAAGACACACTTTGAAAACCAAAATAGCTCAAGAGCAGAAGACATGGGAAGTGTCAGATCCATAAATAAATTGGCTCTTTGTGCACTTTGTTTGAGTCTGGCTGACATTTTAAAGCCTGCCAGGTATTAATACCATTTCTCATGAGACAAAGATAGTATGCGTGGGTGTGCATAAATGTGTGTGTGTTTGTATGTGTTAGTGTTTGCTCTTATTTATACAATTCATGTGCATGTGTGTGCATATTTTGATAGTCTGTGTATGGCGAAGAGAGAGAGTGGTTGGCTGGTTTGTTATTCTTGTGAAACTTCGCCCTCCGGCATAGCTGACAGAGATTTCACTGTTTTATTCTGGCTGAAATTCACCTGACATCCGGACATTGTCTCTCTCTCTCTTTTCAATTTACATTATTGCCAAGGCTTACCATATATTATTTGATATTTAAGTTTTACATAAGTAAAAAAAAAATCAAAAGATAACAAATACACACAGTCACTCTATCAAATTTGCCAAATAAATAAAGTGGAATACGTATTTGTATGTGTGTTTATCTTTTTATGTATGCATTAGCCAAACTTACCTTGTTAATCATCATAGACTGTGTAAAAGGAGCGTGTGTGGTAGCTACACCATTTTAGCAACTTCTCAATCACAAGGTAGCCCTGCCCTAAAGCATTACCTTGTTAATTATCATAGACTGTGTAAAAGGAGCGGCCATGTTGATGTCACTGGTTTGTGGACTACAATTTGAAAGTCTCAACATTAGAATTTAAAGTAACCAGCTAGCGCTAGCTAGCTTGGTTAGCAAAATGCTTAGGTTAACTGTAACGTTAGCCAATGCTAATTTGGACTAGAAAAAACATGATTTAAACAACTTAACAGAAAAAAATGACAGCTGACACTTTTGTATGTCTTTAAGCGCAACCTAAAGCTGAATAATGTGGTAGCTACACGATTTTAGCAATTTATCAATCACATGGAAGCCCTGCCCTAAAGCCTCCCCTACTTATTTATTTGTAGGCCTATGTAGATGTGACCGTAACTTACCAAATGAATATTATGCTTTTTAAGAATATTGGTGGCATATGCTTCACTTAGACACGGATATGTTCTTGTCATTATTAGGTATCCATTAGAAATCATAAGATCTCACAACGTCTTACCTAAATAGAAAGTTGGCTTGAAATACTGCATATAAATTATAGGCTATTACAAATACATTTTGCGTACCTGTGTTTACAGGGTTTGGCATGCCGAATTGAATCAGCAGAATATGGCTGACTAACTATCAGAGTCCTGCAGTACAGATGAATAGAAGAATAATAAAAGGTTGTAACACAAAGGGAGAATAGTAAGTAGGTGTGAAGAGGAGGCCATAAAAGGTGACCTAAATATAGTTTAAGTTTTAAGGTCATTTCTTCTCTTCCTCTTCATCGATGCTCGCTTTCTCACCTGGTCTGATTTTACGAGGTGGGGGGTCCTTAGTAATTATCTGCTCTTGTCAAACCTAGGAGGCTCAGCTAGACGCCAGGTCACCTGTGATTCTGATTGAGGTTCTGGGCACACACACACACACACACACATTCACACAAACACATGCATGCTTACATAGGGAAGCAGCAGCAGGCGAATGTGCAGCGTTTCATTACGCTTCTGATTTGGTCATTCATCATGTCACAGCGAGGTCACACGCGGCGGCCGACACATGCTTAGGTCTGCCGAGACTGTGTGTGTGTGTGTGGGTGTGTGTGTGTGTGTGTGTGTGTGTGTGTGTGTGTGTGTGTGTGTGTGTGTGTGTGTGTGTGTGTGTGTGTGTGTGTGTGTGTGTGTGTGTGTGTGTGTGTGTGTGTGTGTGTGTGTGTGTGTGTGTGTGTGTGTGTGTGTGTGTGTGTGTGTGTGTGTGTGTGTGTGTGTGTGTGTGTGTGTGTGTGTGTGTGCATGAAAAGGATGCTTTGTTTTCCTGTTTGTCCTCTTCATGTTTCCAATTCAGGTTATACAAAGAGGAAGTGCCTCTTTTGATTTAAATCAAAGTGACGTAGGTGAAGGGGATTTTATGATTTTTGTTTTACATCTTGTAAAATATATTTTTATTTGTATATCCTTAAAGAATGCACATATTGTACAATCTTTTTTGTAAGAGTGAGTTAAGAAGCTCCATTCTTTAAGCCAGACATGGACCTAGACACTTTTTATGTTTAGCTTAGCTTAGCATTAAGACAGGGAGCAGGGGGAAAACTGCTAGCCTGGCTCTCTTCCAACGTGTAAAAGTGCTTACAAATATCCATAACGTGGGTTCAGTGTGAATTAGACTTCTAGATTGCAGTAGCCTACTATACCGACTAAACAAAAGAGGTCTCACATGTTGTATTAGTTAGCTTACAAGGTGCTGCTAGCTGAGATAGGCTATGGTTCCCCTTCGCTTTTAGTGGTTAGGCTAAGCTAATTGCCATGGACTCAATCACTACCTCGCAGGTATCCATATTATCATCTAATTCTCAGCCAAAAAGGTTGTGTAATTACTAAAATGTTTAACTATTGCTTAATTGAACATAAGGGTGATTTCTAAAGCTTATTGACTCGTCAATTTAGTGTATTCAGATAATATGACCTTTTTATTTTACATTTTAGTTGTAATTTCCTTCTTATAAATAGTCTATTTCATTTGTTTTCTTCTTTACAGATGTTATTCCAGCCATTGTTATAAGAAAAATAAAAGCGTAAAAGGTGGAGTACAGATATTTGACAAATGTACAAATCAAACTGAGGCTGTATGCCTCTTCAAAAAAACAATAACATAAAAGCCATGATAAGATGCATAGGCTACCTCTTGAAAAACTCATTCAGGTGTAACACCAAATACCAAGGGCCTTATTAAAAGATGCTTGCACGCAAATATATTTTAATATAGGCACACCTCAAATGAATGTTAAATGCATTGCATAAATTCCCTCTGCCTTGGTGAGCTAATGTATGAATGGACTGTGTGTCGATGTCCCTGTGTGGGTATTGCGAAATAGAAATTGGATGGTTCTGCACAAACAAACACACACACACAGAGAGAGAGATCAAAGCTATGCTCCGTCCTCAGATCAGTAACCTTGGTGTAGGCATAACTAATGTTTATTACAAGCACATGTTTTTTATGTTTTAATGTATTCTGCAGCACTACCTTTTGGATATTGGAGCAGTACTGTCCTGCTCATACTTACCAAAAATATTGACCTTGGTTAGGTTTATGTGGAAATTAGATGTCAGGGGATCAGATTCCAGATTTTCCTCAAATTTGTTTCTGCCTCTGGTTAAGAATATTTAAATTATAAGTAAGAAAACCTTTTTGATCCATTTAAAACACTGATTGTCTCGGATTTAATATTTTAGGTTTCAGTGAAGTAATGCACCTGCATTTTGTATTCCCTGCAGCAGCTTGTATAGTAATGTAACTGTTGCCTTATTCCATCCCTGTTGTTATTTTGCCACCTTGTGGCCATCCACTATCATCACTAAATACTGAGGATGAAGAAGAATGTTATTGCACATCAGATAAACAAAGGGTTGTATTGCATGAGTTATTATTGATTAGCAGAGCAGTTTGTGAATAGTTTCAAATTGATTGCAAATGTTGCGTCAAATGTATTTTATTGCAAACACTTTCTATCAAATAAATAGTCCCTCTATGGTAAACTGTTAGGTGTGACTTAGCTGTGACTTAGCTCAGAAGATTTAAGAACCTGAAAACAAAATAAAATCAAAAGTATTCTTCCATATAGATATGCTGGAAAATGTTACTTTTTTATTGTATGTAGATACTTGATGTCGCCAGGGAAAAGAAAGTTTGGGGCTCTCTGCTGGAACTGCTACCCCCGCGACCCGACCACGGATAAGCGGAAGAAGATGGATGGATGGATGGATACTTTATGGCAGCATCTAATTAAGAAGGTGAGCCTTTTTTGTTAAGACTTTTATTTAGGCACTTCACACAAGCTGTGGAATGTACAAATCAAATACAACAAATTAAAGGTACTTTTCACATTCTTGCATCTGTAAACATTGTAAAGATAATACATTCTGACAGTAAATTCACATTGTACTGTATCCCCCTCAAAGGAGATATGTGAGAAAATACCAAAACCTCGCTCAGAGTAGTGCACAGCATACAACAGCTACAAAACATTAGTGAAGCTAAATACAAAACTCTTACCCAGCCCCCATTACAGTAACAAAAAAGCAACATGCAGACGGTCTGTTCATGTGCTCTTATTTTAACCTGAACTGCATCTATTTATTTTCACATAATGTGTGTAAGAGGTAAGTAAAATGTGGACGAAGCATCTAAATCTATTGAGCAGCACAAAAACACTTCTCTACTTCAAAGATCATTATTCAATTGTTAGCAGGCATGTGGACAGGCAGAATCAAATGTGTCTGCCTACAAGATGTAAACATCATATTATCTGTATTATATAACATTTATTCATGGTTCTTGGCAATCACAAAAATAATATTTCTTCTCATTTATATTTTGTATCTTTAGGCCTAAATATCTGTGTACATGCAAGGATAAGGCTGCTGTCGGGCTACTGTTTGTTAATAAATACAGAATGAGGTTTGAATGTGAAAGCTAAAGCTCAAGAGTCCATCACTTGTGGATGTGTGTACACCCTGTTGTCCTCTAGTCGAGCTCCACCTCACAATACTAAGGGTCCAACCTTTAAATCTGGCTCAGCCGGTGCTCACATCAGAAAGGGTTGGTGTCAATAAGGCTATATTTAAAGAAATACTCCACCAAAAACACATGTTGAGTAACCAACACTTATCTGTCTGTTGGCTTGTAAGATGCTATTTCCAAACAACAAATGTGCCAAAATATAGTTGATCACAACTTCCTCTGCCATGCGATAGGACACCAATAACCTGTATAATTGAGGAGTAAAATAAATATTTCGATGGGCACCTGAAGAGCGCAGACGTCTCTCAAGGCTATGATATATCGCAATGTTAACGAAAGCGAAAAATAACTTCTGAATCTGTCCCTTAATTTGGATCCGCTCCAAATTGTAATGGGTTTTCCTTGCTACATGCTACACTTCCACCGAGTTTCATGAATATCGGACCAGTTGTTTTCTGTAATCATGCTGACAAACCAAACCAAACTGAAATATATAAGCTCCTTGGCAAAAGTAATACACAATCAAATAAAAAATTAAAATCTCAGCCTTTTATGATGGGTAGTCAAGCTTATCTTAAAGGGAAAGGGTTGCACTGGAGGAAAAACTAATATGGTAAACAACTGAAAACACTGTATTTTCTCATAAATTGGGGATATATGAATATGGTGATTGTTCTAAAAGTGCGGGCATTGGAGTAAAGGATTATTCTGAGGCAAACATTACACTGGGTCCTTTCAGGGCTACAGGCAGTATGTGTTTAACGCTAGAAACCAACACTAGGTTGCCTTTAAGGAGTTTCATCTTGGACACAGTAGGTTTGTGCTCAGTCTAAACAACAATCTCTAGTTTCCAGGATTGGCCGTTTGTGTCATGTTGTTTGGTGTTTATGTTGTGGCCTGGCGGTGATTATGTGGCCACATTTACACAGGGATTTAACCACTTCATGTCCTGTTTGAGATCTGTTATCTCTGTCAGAGCATGGGCAAAATCTGCCTGCTCAAACTAATTAAAATAACCCTTTTTTTATTCCTGTGTAAATGCAGCCGACTAGCCCGTCCCGTTCTGTGTAGTGAGGCTCTCCCAGGGGCAGATGATCTCTTTGGCTCCCACTCCCCCCCGAAAGGCCGCCCGGCTCTCCTCTTCCTCGTCCTCTGACTCTATGGGGTAGATACGGCACTCTGGGGGAATATCCACTTTAATCTGGAAAAAACTGTGCAGGGTGCAGAAAGGACTTTGTAAGACACGTCTGATATCCATTTTCAGTTCAAATACACTGCAGGCAGAAAGTATTAGATGCACTCCAGACCATTACATTTCATATGTTAAAATGAGTATGACGTTGAAGTGCAAACATTTAGCTTTAATTTGAGGGTGTTTACTTTCACATTAGATAAACTGTGTAGAATTTGTAGACCTTCTACTACCTAATTTTAAGAAAGTCAATGGACAATTGAACTATAAGTGGAAAGTAGATTCCACTAATAGTTACTTGGACTTTACTTGAGTAAAGTAAACTCAACTACTTTTCAGAGGCAAACTTTGCACTACATTTGCCTGGGAGCGTTATTTACTTTGCAGATCTAATAAGTTATGTTATATTATTAAAGGTTAGCTACACTGCAGTATAAGGTCATTACATTCAGCTCCATCTTTACCAAGTGATGAACACATTAATGCAACATTCTTTTGATCCGTAAAAGTAAAATACATTCATCTAAAATGGGTCACTGTATAATTTGATGCAAACCCTTTTAAACTGTACATTTACTTGAAATAACCCTTTAATTCAGAACATTTTATTTTAACAGTGTGGTATTACTGGTTTAAAATATGTAAAATAGCCTACTCATGGCACTACTGAAGTTAAAATATAAGATAAATCCTCACATTTTAATAGTGTTGTAGAGTTAATCAAATATCTGAGTGCACAGTATTATAGGTGCAACTTTTTGTCTCACACTCACTTTCCAATCCGTCGGGGTGGAGCCTGGCTGGGTTGGTCCGGGCTGATGGGCTGGATGCGGCTACTTGTCCCGGCTGCTAAGTGACATTTGGGCGACAGGCTGGCGAACATGGTGGCGGGGGTGCAGCCGCCCTTCAGCAGGCGACGCAGGGACAGAGCCATGCGAGACTTGGACACATTTCCACCCACCGGGGCTCGAGCCGCAGGGTTCCCGTCACCCTCTGCTTCCTCCACCTGCCGCTCAGACACCGAGGTGCTGTCCAGGGCCACGCTGATGGGGGATGGACAGGCCGGGGTGTGGGCCAGGAAGGTGAGGGAGGGTGAGGCGGTGGCAGTGGGGTAGTCAGTGAAGCCGGAGTAGACAGCGAGGTGGGGGACGGGAGTGGTGAAGAGGCACAGCTGTGAGGTCAAAGGGCAACAGACACAAGTCAGACAGAGAATAAATGGCATTTTGGGAAACTTACAGCAAGTGTTATACTTACTTAAACATCATGATGTTCAGAATAGGTCAAAACCAATAGGACAGAGAAATTATATGAAACAGTTTATGAAGACAAACAGATAAACATGAGGTGGTTTGTGAATGTTTTATTAGCTCATGACTGATGACAGAGAAAACATATTGTAAGTACAGAAGTGAGTGATATAATACATGAGTGGGGATGGATAATATGACATATGAGAAAACAACAGGACAGAAGACAGTTACAGCTGGTATGGCTAGAAATGCAACAGATGGAAAGACATCTCAAAATAGCTGTTAAATGGAATTATGTCAGTAAATTCTCAACAGGATTTGAGTGTTTAAAGGAACAGTCGCCCCAAATCTAACCTCTTATAGCGGTTATATGTACGACAGGACATGAGGGGGGGGTATTAAGGAGGTAGATTTGTATTCATATCATTTTGAGAATCATCCTTAAATGTTGAAAATAAAGTTGAAATATTGAGAATAAATCCAACCACTAGCATAAGAGCATATACTGAAAGCCTAACTTTATTTTTGACATTTTTCTCAAAATGAAAAATGTAAACAAATCTTTCTCCTCTTATTTTTATTTCACGATGTGCGTAGTGAAATACCATTATAGTTAGGTGGGACATTTTGGGTGATCTAACCCTTTAAAAAAAGCTTTATTAAAGTTGACTATTTGTGCTTCAACTACTCTATTCTGCATATTTAAAACGGTCTTTAAAGAAAATCAACTTAATGATGTACTTTCTTGAAGAAAATGTCTTTCTGCAGCACTAACACAACAGCAACATCTGTCTGCTGTTTGTTTTGAGCAGGTAATGAAAAGAGTATCTTTCATCAAATACTACACATTAAGAGCGGTGGAGTAAACTAAGACGGTAGTATTCAGAACCTGGAGTGTTTATTTTAATGATACTTCTTTATAATTTAATAAAATCACTGATTGTTCATTTTTTAGGAGGACGAGGGGGCGCCTCCTTGCCCTGCTTGCTGAGTTTGCTCATGACCTGTGTGATGTCAATGTTGGCGGCCATCTTGGCCCTTTGCTCCTGCTCCATCTGCCGCAGGATGATGGGGCTGAGACTCGGCCGTCGCTTCTTATAATTTTGCTCCAACTGGGCACCACTGGGAGGGAAAGTACAGAGATGGACGTGGTTTCAGAAAGCTACAGTGACACTTATACCAGGCTGAGAGATGAGAGACACTTCTAAGTCATAATTTGCATTAATGAATCACTGCCTTCTTCTCCCTTTTTGTTCCTAATCAGACTGGTTCAAGGATTCATTTGGTTTTCTAGTCACTATAGCTAGAGTGTAGTTTTGGCAATGAAAATCTTAAGTCCTGGGCTCCTCCAACAATGCAACATAAATATATATAAGACGTAATACAATACAAATATAGTGCTAGATAACAGAAATAAAACCGTGCAAGGAAATGTTGCAAGTGACCAATTTGCCAGTAAATGCATAAATAAGTCAACTATATACATGTAAAATATACATGTATGTGTAAAATCGCAAAACATACGATAAGCTGAAAATAGAATGTAAAATTAAAAAGTGTACAGTGGAATAAACGGTCGAGGTAATCACATCAAAAGAATAATGCCTTGAAGATCTTATCCCAAATAAACTGCTTTAAGAACGGTCACTTACCTGAAATGGTGCTCATCAGGACAGATGGCCTTCTTCACCGTATCCTTAAACACCGGAGATTTTTGGTACCGGCCGTATGAGTCCTGGGAAATACAAACAAATTCATCATGAATCATCATTGACTACTTGTTGGCTGATCTTGGGAACGATCGTGCCAACTACCGATGTGTTTCCTGACCTTCTTCATGAGCATGTAGATGTGAGTTTGGGCGGGGTCCAGGACGTATCTGTGTGGGTGTTTCAGACCTTTCACCGTGACTTCCATGGTCTTGCCGTCAATGTTGATCCACCGCGGTGCACCTCGTGCCAGGAATGTTCTGGGATCAGGAAAGTGGGAGAAACAGATACAAACCAAGCATCAGTGGACTGTAACCCACTACATTCACTCAAGATCTGCATGTGAAATACACCTTTGAGGTTCTTGTGCTAATTCAATTCCAAAGAATTGTTAAGAAAAAGTAATGACATATTCAGTATAAGATGATATAAAACTGAAACATTTTGAAAATCCTCACAACCGCAAAATTGATGGATTAGAATGAAATCATGAATAAGAGAGATAGATAAGATAAGATAGGACTTTATCCCGAAGGAAATTGTTGTGCCAGAGTTCCAACAATACAATAAACACAGCAGCATAATAATACAACTGTACACTAACAGTGCAGTAAAAAGAGCTAATTAAACAACTACAAAAAACATAGATGGTGTAGAGTTATATTTGTATTTATTCATGTTAGCAAACTATGGATAAGCTTAAAATGGGAATAATTTGGGTAAAACTGTGAGCTGCATTTGGGGCCTGTTGACATGTGTTTTTGAGGACAAAGGAAGATGGGGGAAGGTGAGAGCATGTCCTGATTTGCATTCAACTTAGAACGAGCTACAGTGGTTGGGATATTAAGAGAGGTCCCTTGGGTTTCTCTGGTGGTTATCAATAGTAGCAGTTAAGTGAATACTGTTCAAACAATACCTGTGTTTGTGTTTTATATTGATTTCTCTGTTTTATCCTTTCATAAATGTAAGGACTACAAATGGCTATAAACATTCTGGGCTGGTTGGAGTAAACAGGGTTTTATTGCTCTGTGGGGGAGGTGTAGGTATGCAGGCCTTGAGACTTTTGGTTGTAAGGTGAGCCTGTTTGGTTTCCTGCTGGCCAGCGTTGCGTCTCCCAATGAGATGACCTGAAAAGATGACCAGCTGACCTAACACCAAACCCCTCCTTCTTACTCTGGTATATATCCGGTGGATCCCTGGCGTTCGGCCTCTCTTCACATGCTGCCCGAGCGGAAGGATCTCCGCAGCACGCGAACCAGGGCAGGAGTAAGCCGGCATTACTCCTTAAGCATTACAATATAACTGTAATATATCATGTTGTATTGTAATGATTGTATTGCATTGTCATATTGCCATTAAAGTAGATTATTGTTAACGGTTACTTTGTAGATATGGATTCCTTCCTGTATTATAACCAGCTTCATAGGAACGCGCGGAGATTTGAAAAGCGGATCAGATATCCCTTTTAATCTCCAACAAAATGGTGACCCCGATGTGATGATATAACGAAGCTGGGGAAGAATTCAGACGCTTTCAAACATCTCAGACAATCAGCAGGATTCTGCAACTCTGCAAATAAGGTAAGCAGACGATGAAAATCGCCTGTTTGTAATTGGATAAAACTTTAGGATTGTCTGTAGGCGTTTCACAGTGTTTTTAAAGTTTAAATGGAATATACAATGCATATTTTACTATGTTAGGAAAGTTATATACGAAACGTAAACGTTGATCGACAGGTAGACGAAAGTCCTGCGTGACGTAAAATAGAGCAGTTTGGCGTGGATCTGCAGGTAGTTTATTCCTGAGTGGCGTGGAGACGGGGCAGTTTGTTTGGATGCGAGGTTTGATTCCTGCACGACAAAACCTGGAAACTCGATATATCAGATCGAGTCGCCGTTTAAAAACTGGGGTTTAAATAACAGACCAATGCTAAAAGCTTAAAGCCAGAGGTCTGTTATATATTAAATCGAGGGAGAGCGTTTCCCTTTGTCTGGAAACTTCTGCTGCTGCCATCTAGTGGCTGAAAGGGGGTATCACACCCTTGGAACTTCTGCGAGCTAAAACTGGTACAAAACAATAAGGGATTGAACATTTTTTACAACGACAGCACCAGGGGCCAAGAGTTCAAAACTTTTAATCCCTATCTGATCAAATCAGATTTGGATTTTGGGGAGTTCAAAACCAAAAAACAGGATTAGGATCACTTTGATATCCGATCAGATCAGGAAATCCAATCCAAGCTTTAATCTGGATCACATCTTCAAAACGGGTAGTTCAAACCGACAACACAGGTTTGGGATCAATTTGATCCCAAAAAACTGGATTATCCTGATCCCACCAGAGGGGTGGATTTCCAGTGGATTACCAGAGCAAAATTTACTGTACAATTTATTTTAAAATATGTTTCAATTTAAATTAGATGGCAAAGTTTGTTAACGGAAATAATACACTATTTTTAGCCTTCATGGGAAATACATTTTATTTTTCCATTTTTTGCTCACGTTTGTGGTGGCCTATTTTGTTTTAAACCAAATGTTGATGACATAAATGTATATGCTCATAAAAGTATCACAACAAAGATTGTCAATCACAAATGTAATTTAGATTAAATAAAAAATATCTTCAACAAAAAAAGTCCATCATCTGTCATCACCTTTCAAAAGTAATTGCGGACAATAGATGTCTCTGCAATGTGGTCTCTTGTCTTCCTTGTATTATTTTTCATGTCCACTAGATGGCGATTGGTAGGATTAAAGCACTGATATTCAGGATCTAGTCATCTTGAAAAGTCGTAATCTGGATCAGGCTGATCCTATCCTGAATTGCTTTGAACTCCAGGGACAAAATGTGTCCGATTTGTCTGATCCAGGATCACAAAAAATGGGATTTCAAAATCTGATCGGATCTGATTGAGATTAAAAGTGTTGAACTCCTGGGCCCAGGAGATGAGTAAACTCAAGAATCTGTAGAGTGTAAATACATTGTGCAAAACACATTTTACACTCGAACTGTTTGCAAATTTAGACAATATAAATAAATGTTCAGAAAGAAGACATAGGCCTACACTTGATTCAAATTTAATTACTGTGATCCGATTGGTGTGCTCTGCAGGTTTACTATTGTTCGAAGTAACAGTGGGATTTAAAATGAGAGAAGATATGGAGATGTTCTTTCATAGTGTGTGGAATATGTGATGCTGGAAACATGTAAGTATTTCGGAGTTGTGTTGGGTAGATATGTAACAATGGATGAAACAATTTTTGGAGTGCGTTTTTGTAATATCATAAGTAGACATTATTTATGTTGTTTAGATGGCATTTAACAACTAAGACAGATAGTATGATTAGAAAGAGACAGAGTGGAAAGGGTTGGATTTATTTAACATCAGTGGGCTAGACTTCTTATAGGTAATGTGTACCGGGACCTGGACTCCCCCTCTGAGTTAGAAAGGCTTTGATCCCGACCCTCCAAGCAGACAACGAGACCTAACCCAACAGGAGACTCCTCCTTCTCCATCGTACAGACAGAGAACCAGAGCTGAACCAACAACGACCTGAGGCATCCAGAACCAAACCAGCATGCTGACAAAGAGGCAAACTCTCATCGGTCCCTCAAACAGGACATGAAGTTCCAAACTGCGCCGCGAGATTTGGCACAATAGACATGAGAGCAGAATCCGCCCTCCATAAAAACAGCAGAGAGACTGTAAAGGAGGAGTGCAACAACAGTGGCATGATGGGGCTGCAGATGTGACTGGGCCAATGGCTGCCTACAAAAGTTACAGTGGATGGATTCAACAGCTGATGGACTGAAGGGAAGACAGAATCAGAGGAGTTGGCATGGTCGATTAGAAGTGAGGAGGCCGGGGTCACGGCTTGAGAAAACCAGGGGAGGAGGAAAGGAGAACGGGAATGAGTGAGTTACACATAAACACACTTATTCACAAAACGCACATTTAAATAACTTGAATTAACTTCATAAATACGTAAAGACAGAAAGATTTATTAATCATTTGGTAAATTAAAAATAGCAGTAAAGAGGAAACTATTAAAGTAAAATGATAATCATCCTAAAACACACTGACAGAGTAGAACCATATTCTTCAATATTTTCATCATGTTAACAATTCATTCTTTAAGACATTTTTATTCACGTGTGAATAAAGTAGTGATCTCATTGGTTACAATATTGATCACCATTAAAAGGATAGTTTTAGGAACCACTCTATAGGACAAATCTTTGTTTGTATTAATGGCTAGTGCCAAGCCACATATTAAATTCCAATCTAAAGTGTTGATTTCACCATTGTGGCATAGTTATTACCAGACTTCGGTTTTAAATCCTTGATAAAGGAGGGAGTAATTGTTGCATGTTCGGACACCCAAGGTTCCACACACTGCTAAAAGACTTTAACATTGTTTTTTAAGTAGACCAGAATTATAATGAGCTATGAAATGCAGAGCGACACAGATCCTAGTAATGTTTTGACTCAAGATAATAGTTATGTACACAAGTTTCTGAAATAGATACTAATTAGGTGTAATTGGATTGCAGTAGTAGTGGTACTCGAAGGAAGTGAGTTTTGTACCAAGTTTCAGGAAAAGTGGGAGGCAGAAGTCCCAATGACAAGTGAGAATCATCTTGAAAATTATAGTTGAAATCGTGACATATTTTTGTAGACAAAGGATACTGGCCTATGCTGAAATGTCAAAGTCTCTGCAGAGCACGACACATGGCCAAAAAAGACGGAGACCAACTGACCTTTGACCCTGACCGACAGTGTAACTTGACAAGGCACTGTGGATGACTGACTCCGGGGTGAAACCTGACCAAACTTGACATGACAACCAGACAGTGTGAGTGTGAATGTATGCCGGCATGTGATCAGTGTAACTGCATGATTCTAAAACAATAACTAACCAAGCATGTTTTTGGACTAACATATTATTTTGGAGCTCCAAGGGAAACGAGAGGTTTCCTAAAAATTCCACAAAAAGGGGAAACCGCACATGTGATATTTTCCTCTCACATGAGTTGGTGGTTTGCAAATGTAAAACTAAAATCTGAAGATTCTGTTTCTTTTAGGCCGGAAGGACGGAGACTAACACTTCTTTTCACTGAAGTGTTCACTGTGGAAATAATGATAATGATGTCAAATTGAAAATAATGTTCGTTATGTCCCTAACCAATTACCTGACAGTTTTTGTTCCCCTCCCATTACAGGGTTTTGTTACACATGATTTCATGTGTAAAAAGGGGGAGTGAGTATAATGTATAAATGTTAACATGGCTGTAAAATTCACAATTTAAATTTTTCTTTTAAGGATTGACAGAAACCTTCCGCCCCAACCCAGATGTTCAAACTGAGCATTGAATGTAATTAACCTGCTCCATATCTGGGGATAAGATACTGTTTGATGAATGTTGAGATGTTTCTAAATATTGATTTGAATTATAACAGGTAACAAAGAAGCAGTGGCCAAGGGGCTACTGTGAAACCGAAGAAGTTGACCTGTGATGATGAAACAATTTTGTAATATTTTAACAGACATTAGAGTAACTGAGGTTTGAAATGTAGAAAGAACATATTACAGTTAAAGCTAAAACATAGTAGTGTATTGAGACAGAATTTAATTTAGACAACATCATGTAACTAGCCTGGTAAAGAAGTAAAAGCCATATACTTTATTGTTTAGGTCATTATGGGGATATACATTTCATCTAAATTTATAATAGAAAGACATTTGATGACAGTTTGTTGGAATTCTGTATTCATTTTTTCAGCGTGATAATATCTAAGCACTGACAGGTAAAAGCAGTATCACCAGGAAATCATTCACTTTGTTAGCATCGTGATTTTGGTTGTTTTTGAATCCATAACATTAGTGTGTTTCTTTGCCAGAAACATTAGCAGTTCATATTATATTTAGATTTTAAATAGGATTTCATTTAAAAATAAACACGGATGCTTGTCAGAAATTCAGAGCTATTGAAATATGTTATTTAGTTTACCTAAAGATGTTGAGGTTCTTATTTAGTTGGCACAATCCAAGTATTAAGATTCTGAAGCTGCACTGGCAGATAGGAGGTCTACAATTAATTTAGAAAACCTGTTTACAGACGGCTGTTGTTTCAAGACACCCCACCAACAGGCTCCAAGTGGGTCAAAACAGCTGAGCGTAGGCTTGAGGGAGTTGTATCAGATTTCTCCACACAGGTCGCTGGCGCCAAAAGGGGGACCCGAGAAGCACGAGGCCGACAGCAGAGTTCGTCTGGCTGAAAGTCATCAGGACAAAGTGGCTCAACCCCAGGCTCTCCGACCCCGACCGAGTGACCCAGCGGACCTCTTATGCCGTCTGCCTGGGAGAAAAGGGGGACAGCTCGTACCACGGGAGCCAGTGTGCGGCGGGGAAACCACCTACTGGGACCAGGGGACGACATCAGGACGGACGTGGCCCTGGCAGACGTGGACTACTCGGAAGCAGCAGACTGGAGGAGCAGGACCCTGGAGACATCTCTACAGCATCGACCCGGAAGCCGCCATCAGCGGGCCGGAGGACGAGGAGGAGGAAGACATCTCTCTAGCAGGCAGCCCAGAAGCTGCTGTCAGCGGATTGGGGGGACAAAGACACGGCAAGCCAGGACGGCACAGGGGACTTGTCGACGCAGCAGAGGAGTCTACTTCGCTCTGATTAGTTCTACCCGTGAAGGGAAAGCTGCATCTCCCCTCCCTAGCTGTCCTTGTGGGCTATTCCTCCGGGGGGGGGGGGGGGGGGCGCTGATGATTCTAGCACTCAGCTACCCCCTCATGGTTCCTTCACTGCCATGGAAAGTGGTGTTCTGTCTCCATGAAGGTTTCAAGTACTCTAAATACCAGCTTCAGATGGATTTACGGACACAGTAGAAAAGAATGACCGTGGGTATATTTCAAAATGCCTTGTCTAAGTTTATCTCTGGAGAAGGAGATAAAAGGGGGATTTGTAGAGTTATATTTGTATTTATTCATGTTAGCAAACTATGGATAAGCTTAAAATGGGAATAATTTGGGTAAAACTGTGAGCTGCATTTGGGGCCTGTTGACATGTGTTTTTGAGGACAAAGGAAGATGGGGGAAGGTGAGAGCATGTCCTGATTTGCATTCAACTTAGAACGAGCTACAGTGGTTGGGATATTAAGAGAGGTCCCTTGGGTTTCTCTGGTGGTTATCAATAGTAGCAGTCAAGTGAATACTGTTCAAACAATACCTGTGTTTGTGTTTTATATTGATTTCTCTGTTTTATCCTTTCATAAATGTAAGGACTACAAATGGCTATAAACATTCTGGGCTGGTTGGAGTAAACAGGGTTTTATTGCTCTGTGGGGGAGGTGTAGGTATGCAGGCTTGAGACTTTTGGTTGTAAGGTGAGCCTGTTTGGTTTCCTGCTGGCCAGCGTTGCGTCTCCCAATGAGATGACCTGAAAAGATGACCAGCTGACCTAACACCAAACCCCTCCTTCTTACTCTCGTATATATCCGGTGGATCCCTGGCGTTCGGCCTCTCTTCACATGCTGCCCGAGCGGAAGGATCTCCGCAGCACGCGAACCAGGGCAGGAGTAAGCCGGCATTACTCCTTAAGCATTACAATATAACTGTAATATATCATGTTGTATTGTAATGATTGTATTGCATTGTCATATTGCCATTAAAGTAGATTATTGTTAACGGTTACTTTGTAGATATGGATTCCTTCCTGTATTATAACCAGCTTCATAGGAACGCGCGGAGATTTGAAAAGCGGATCAGATATCCCTTTTAATCTCCAACAATGGTCAAATAATTAATATAAAAAACTGTAAAAAATTATTATCAGTCGCCTATTGTGCGATTGTTGACTTCTATCAAAACTCATCACTTAAATATTCTACACAGAGAATTATTTAAGACATTACTTGTAGATATGCTCTGCTTTCTCTTTAATCGACGCAGCTTTGCCCCACTTTAGATCTTCGCAAGCTTCCCAGAATGCCAAGTTCTCACCTAAGGTGGTGCAGAAAAGAAAACAATAACAATGAAAACTATATTAGTCCCTTGGAATTGTTTAAATATTAACATTGTGTGACCAAAAATGTATCTACAGTGCAGGGATATGGCAATAATAAATATAAATTGTACCGCTGAATTCTTTCTTCAGGAAGAGTCTGAAGTCATCTCGTCCTCGGGTGTCTGACAGCAGCTCTGCGAAGCTGAACGTCCATCGCTCCACACGCATCTTAGTTGGTATTTCCACACTGTTACAATCACAAATCAAATCAAAGGAAACTAACAAGTTATTCCAAATGTTCTCTGATTATAGATAACGTATGGTCCTCAGATGACTCACCAGGGCATGTTCAAGGTCCAGAACGTGACATCATCGGTGATCCAGGGGTTGCTGGGAAGACAATTGGAGAGGAAAGGGTCGTGGTTGTTGTAGGTGGCACAGTATTTCACCAATCTGCAAGAACAGAGGGAAATGTAGTGTTTTAATGTATCATGACAGTAAATTAGAGCTAGTGTTGGTGAAAAATGTTGTTGATCACACCACTAAATGTTGGCCAAATATGTGTGTAAGGCACAAGAGTGGGATGTGGCTCGTTTATGAGGTAAATTAGTGACCAGAGAAAGTGAAAAATGCATAACCAGCACAGGAAATGTATGTTTTGGGCTTGATTTTATTGATTGTTGAATAGCAGGATGACTGAACCCTTTTAAAGTTTTTGCTAATTATTAAAATGCCCAAGACAAAAAGAAGAATCCCTAGCATTATATATTTATAGCGTGTATAAAAACCAGTTATTCAACTTTTGTATTTGTTTTTATTTTTCAGAAAAAGCTACAGTGGGATTTTAAGGGTTAACATTTCGGAAAATGTAATGCAATGTTGTTACTTATGATCAAGACTGCAGTTGGTTTAAAAAAAATCCCTCTTATGAACTCTAAAAAATATATATTAATCATTCATTCTGTGGCAGGTTTTATTTTTTACACAGAAACGTTGTCCTCTAAGGATATCAGAGTCCATTTTTTAAGATACACACTGCTTACAAATGTGAATAAATATCTTAAAGATATGAAGAACACCAACGGTAAATTCCATGATTATCTATTACAATGTATTTTCTCCTGCTGGCCATTTTCAATTATTAAAAACAACTGATTTTGAGGATTTTACAGTCTCCAATAATCCAATTTACAAAGTGCTTGTTACACGCCTATAACATAATAACATGATAACTCCTGCAACGCAAACATTTCCCAACTTGGGATCAATAAAGTACCTATCTATCTATAAAAAGTCACTGAACGCACAGATTCTGTCTCTATATCATCTGTGATCTACATCTTCTTCATCAGGTCAGTCAGTGGAGAGCTATTTTGAAACACACACAAACACGCTTCTTATAATTTTGCTCCCACTGGGCACCACTGGGAGGGAATGTACAGAGATGGATGTGGTTTCAGAAAGCTACAGTGACACTTATACCAGGCTGAGAGATGAGAGACACTTCTAAGTCAAAATGTGCATTAATGAATCACTGCCTTCTTCTCCCTTGTTGTTCCTAATCAGGCTGGTTCAAGGATTCATTTGGTTTTGTAGTCACTATAGCTACAGTGTAGTTTTGACAATGAAAAATGTAGATGCGATCAATCTAAAGAGACGGACGGGCTTGTCACAGACAGATTTAGTATATGAGTAGCAGCTTACGCGCCAATAGACACTGATGACTTCACTCTGGGCCTCATGATGGACTGCTGCGTAAAGATCATCTACAGTGAGGCGGAGGAGAGATGACAGCTATAAACATGTCAGGAGAACAGTTCTGTCTCTATGGATCTAGTGCTTAACACAACTGTTAGCGGAGAGGAAACAGGCTCACGGGACAAATGTTAAACATGTCAGAGAAAGAGTCAATACATCTCCACTCACAATTCTCTCGTAGAAGTCGGGTGTAACTGCCTAGGGAAGACAACATAGATGTTACATAAAACAGGTCATCGCGAAACACACAATCTACAAAAATGTATTTGGCTTTTTGAATGTTTGTGAACATGGTTTCATTTTTTTTAAAGGGCTTTTTAAATAGTTGACACTTGGTTTAATGGTTAAAAGGGCAAGCCATTGATTTAGCCTTGCAATCCTATAACTCAATATCATTGTCAGAATCTCTGAGGAAAGTAAAAACAAGTAGCGAAACTCGATGGCAGAAGAATCTGCAGTATGTCTTTTTTATTTCATTGATTCTTCTTCTTTGTCAACTCCAGAACCCACAGTGCAAATTGACTGCCGAGAGTTCCTTCAGATATGTATCTGTGATGATAGTAGCAACACAGTTTAGTTTTTTTAATCCATGGACTTCCCTCACTACGGTTGGAATTAAGTTCAAGTTTTTTTTGGTGTAATTCTCTTCGTTATTTATTGATAATAATTCATTTAACTTTTACAAAAAGTGTACAAACATTCTATAGACTCCTAAATAAAACATTGCTGCGAAGATGAGGAAAGAAACATTGCAAAAGGTTTTTAATAAAATACTGTTACATTAAAGAGGCCCTATTGTGCTTTTTGGGGTTTCCCTTTCCTGTAGTGTGTTATAAGATAAGATAAAGGTAAGATATACTTTGTTGATCCCAAATTGGGAAATGTTTTAGTCACAGCAACATTAAAATCCAGGCATTGCACATAATTAGAAATGGAGTAGAAAATAAAACGTCTCAAAAAATGTAAGAAAACAGAACAAAAATGTAAAATAAATTGGTGAAAGAAAAAGCCAAAATAAGAAAATAAATTAGTAAAAAGACAAAAAAGTATAAACACAAAGGGGGCTGCTTGCAACAGCCTGCCACCTAATATGACTATTGGGTAGCGCTCCAACACATTCTAAGTGATAGGCTAAAGGGCGGGACGTCTCTAAGTGGTTGACCAATCACAACAGAGAAAGCCAACTAACCAATCAGAGCAGACTGGGCTCTGGTTTCAGACAGAGAGGGAAAAGAGGTGCTGCAGCACAGGCAGTATGAGACAAATAAAGAGCTTTTTGACTTCAAAAGATAAACATGTCACAGTAGAGCCACAAAACACCTGAAAAAGAGCATAATAGGGCCCCTTTAAGTGTTGTGCTTAGGTTGTGAGAGTCAAGGTTAGGGAAAAGGAATGTAGTGTTTAAAGTACAAACATGGGGGTTGTGTGTGTGTGTGTGTGTGTGTGTGTGTGTGTGTGTGTGTGTGTGTGTGTGTGTGTGTGTGTGTGTGTGTGTGTGTGTGTGTATGTGTGTGTGTGTATGTGTGTGTGTGTGTGTGTGTGTTCATAACCAGTGCTCAAAACAAGTCTGAATCACAAAGAAAAGTCCTGCAGAAGAAAAGAAAAGAAAAGAAGAGGGGAAGGGTTAGTTTGAGTTAGATAGGATTAGTAAGATTAGTTAAATGATGGCAACAGCAGACATAGAAAGGAAAGAGGAGAGCCACATTATTTACTGCACCTGGATCCATGCATCAAAGCCTCTTACTGAATATAAGCTGATTGGCAGGAGTTATGTTCATGCAGGTCACAGAGAGACTCACCTGTTACCTCATCTGAGTTTGGATCTATTTGTCGATCCAGCCCATAGTCCATTGCACTCACTGTTCCCGGCTACACAGAAACAAATTAACAACAAATAAATGATATCACAATGTGTGTGGGCTCATTATTATAACAGATGGATGTTTTATAATGCTAATCACAGGATGCTAATGTGTCACTTCCCCTGGCTGTCTGAGACAACAAGAGGCCAGTCACGTGTAAAATGTGATTTATGAAATTACTGTTGCACATGCATAACTTACAGTAATCGGTTGGTTTCCAGCTGAGGCTTTAAATATATATGACTTGTAATCAAATGTAACAGCAGGATGCCTCTGTGTACAGTATGTGAATGTCAAGTAGGAAAACAAGTGTAACATACATCCTGATTTCTATGCAATTGAAACACCATTTAAGCTGTGTTGTTCCCCAAAATAAATGTATAATAAGTGCTCTTATCTAATAACGCATCTCAAGAAAAAGTGTTAACATCTAATACTTCCATGTCTGTATCTGTAAAATGCTCTGCTAGGCTAAATACCTAAATAAATTAGGTATTGGGCTAACTTAATTAAACACCAAAAATAATTGCTACTTTGCCTGTCAGCAACCTCTCATATGGTAATTTAAGGAGGCAATTGGATCTTTGTTCTGGTTAATTTGGCGTTTAGTTAACAAAAGAGTCATGATTTAGTTTCAATGAAAACTGGAGTCCTTGCATTTGCTCCAGGTGTTCTTTAACATTCTGCGAAATACAGGCAAAGAGACTATAAAGTTAATTTATTTTAAATAAGTGCTGTGTTGGTGAAATTAAATATGCTAATGATAAGTTAACCGACATCATGACTCGCCACTACTTATGCTTCAATTTAGTTGTTTAAGTGCTTATTAAGTACAGTGCAAACAACCGAATGCTCATGGCCTTTTTATTATACGTTGCGTAAAATTACTTTGACAAAATACAGATGTATTCAGGAATATGCAACATATAAGCACAATTTCACTTAAATTATAAACGCATTAGCCTCAGGATTACGTAATACAGCCAAACCATGTCAGCTGATGTTATAGTAAGATATTAAATTACTAAAAGGTCACTGACTCATGGGTAGAAGATAAGCGTCCTAGCCTAGTCAGTAATCATGAAACAGGGCGAATCTCAGACTCAGCGTGCCCCAAGCACAAGGTACAAAACTCTGCGACACATTCCCATTAAGCAGTGTGAAAAATTCATCAGCGGTGCCCTTTTCCTCTGACTGGACAAGTAATGATAATGAGGCATCATGGGTAGAGATAATGAGATACCCTAGGAAGTATAGAGGTCGAGGACAATTTATTTCTAGACGTCTCAGTCTGCTGCCATACATGAAGCTGTATCCTGTGTGCAGTACATGTCTGATAACTATCTGTGTGTGGTGTGTGTGTGGTGTGTGTGTGTGTGTGGGTGTGTGTGTGTGTGTGGTGTGTGGGGTGTGTGGTGTGTGTGTGTGTGTGTGTGTATCGTTGTGTTGTAGGAGTGTGCTAGTGTAGGTGTGTGTGTTGTGTGTGTGTGAGCGTGTGTGTGTATTGTATGTGTGTGTGTGT